CACGGGCAGAGACCAGGCCTTTGGCAGAGAGGATAGATCTGGAGTGAACAGCGTGGCCGGTGGTGGCATTCAGCATCTGACTTTAGGCCAGGCCCACCCTGGAGCCCGCTCCGGCCCTGACGGACAAGGCCAGTCACTTCCAGTGAGTCCTTAAATCCCACCCCCACCCCTCAGGCTTGCAGTGCCAGGGTGTGACAGTTCTGCAGGTCGTGGAAAACTGGAATGGCTGAGACTTGGAGCCCACCATTGCCCTGCCCTTGTTCTGAAAAATAAAAAGGAATCTGGTACCAAAGCAAATGGCTTATTAACTGCTCCCACAACCTTGATTAAAATCTGGCAGTTGGGTTAAAACGGTGGTGCTCACGGGCTGGGGCAGGAGACCAAGCTGTTAAGACAGAATCTGGAATGTTACTGGGTCCAACGCTGCAGGGTCATTTGGCTCAACTCGTTTACCTCAGTCTCACCAGAAGCCGGGGCTCTTTACCAACCGCGGGAGCCTTACTCCTTTTCCCCTTTATCCCAGTCCTTCCTTATTAGCGGCCCTTTCCAGGGTGCCAGTTATCAGGGATCCCCTCCAGTCTCCTGCCTGGGTTATGGCCCACAGTGGGAAAGGAAAGAAAAAAGAACCGGAGACAAAGTAGAGGAGCGCCAGGAGGGATAAGGGTGCTCTCCGGGGAACAAAGGCTCCCTCGGCACCGTTTATCAGCCATGCTCGTGGGGGGGCAGTACCTTTCCTGGATCAGGGCAGTCCCAGTAGTAGAAGGTGAAAGTTTAGCGTCATAAAGGAAGCAAAGCAAAGTCCATCCCAGCCCCATCCCCATACCTGGTGCTCAGGTCATGGGCCCAGAGACAGGTGATTTTGGCCTCCCAAATCAGCCTGCCAGGCTGGCAGGACTGGGAGACCCAAGGACAGATACTAGAATTGAGATTAGTGGTCCCCCACACTGCACGCTGGAAGCTTCTGCCTAGAGAACCGTCTCCTGTCAGTTTCCCAGAGCATCTTCATAGTGAAAATAGAAAATCCAAGCCTAAGGTGAAGGCCCCGCTGGGATTCGAACCCAGGATCTCCTGTTTACTAGACAGGCGCTTTGACCGGCTAAGCCACAGGGCCCCTCCTGGCCGCTGCTTCCCTTCTGTCATACATATCGCTTTTATATGAAGCGCGGAGCTCTGCCAGAGATTTATTTTATTCTGTTCGAAAGAACCCACATTCACGTTTTCAGATTCGCGCCAAAGCAGAAACTCCGCTGAGAACGGAAGCGTCTTCGAGGCGGGCTTGAGACTGGTTGGAGAGGGGAGGGGTCTCCCCGCGAGGCCGCCCGGCCCCGCCCTGCCCGGGCCCCCGCCCCCGGGCTGCAGTTCCGGCTTTGGCCGCCGCGCGCCGTTCCCGGCGTTTTTCCAGGGCTGGAGGCGGAGCGGTAAGCAGAGCAGCAACAGCCCTGAGGTGATGTAGGAGACTCTAGGTGGGGGGAGAAAGGCTGCGGGGCCGCTCCGGCTCGGGTCGGCTCGGGTCGGCCCGGGTCGGCTCGGGTCGGCTCGAGTCGGCTCGGGTCGGCTCGGGTCGGCCCGGGTCGGCTCGGGTCGGCTCGGGTCGGCTCGGGTCGGCTCGGGTCGGCGTCTGGAGTCCTGCGCCAGGCGAAGCGGGGTCTCCGCTTGGCCCACCTCTGTCTGCGGGGCAGCGACGCAGGCGCCCAGGGTGCGACCCACAGCCCCGGCCTGGGGGGCAGCGCAGCGCAGCGCAGCCCAGCGGGACCCGGAGGCGAGGAGCTCGGCGCAGGCAGTGGGCTGGGTCCGCAGGGCCCAGAGGGATGCCTTGGAGCTCTGTCCTTGACCCCGGGAATCGGGCCTAAATGTCTGGCTCGCTCATGACCTGCTTGTCCTCACACCTTCCTGTCCCGCTGCCCTCTCGCTCCTTCCCCAAACAACCTCTTCTGGCTTGGTGATTGAGCGCTATCCTGATCACTGGTATTCGTGCCAAGTCGACGCTTTCGTATTGTGGGCATGTATTTTATTCTACAATTGCATCAGTGGTGACACGTTGCGTCTTTAAAAAATCTCTACAGCTCTAAGAACCATAGGCTTTGCTTTGCCCTGCGCACCGGTGCTCCCTCCGTTCCAGGATGAACCAACCACTCCTGGGCTGGGCCCTGCGCTTTCTCCGCCCTGCACGGCCCCGGACGCGCTTTTCTGCGCATGCGCGGGACTGAGCCTGGGCGTAAGGGAGGGGCTCCTGGGCTACGCCCTCGGCCCAGGATACAGCAAATGCAAAGGCTCTGGGGTGCCAGGTCCAATCAGCCCAGAGCAGTCTTCCTAATTCTACCCTGCTAACGTTATGACTTAAAATATTTTTCAAGCACAAGATAAAATGTTCTGATTTTAAAAATGTAGTTTAACGATTTTGCTGTTAGTATTATAAGGTTTGCTTTTTGCTACCAGCAATTTACCTTTAAAATTTTTGTAGTTTCCCCCTCTTTGATATTGCAAGGGCTGTTGCGGGTCTCAAGTCCATTTACCAATGACCATTTTGGGGCTTAGATATCCGGTGGGTCGGCCTTGTAGAGAATCAGAACTCTTCCCTGCAGTGAGACTTGTGCCCTTGGACTCTAGGGCCCTTAAGGAGTACACGTCAGCAGTCAGATTGGATATTTGAGGACTAAAGCTTCACAGATGAGATGTGGCTTTGCATTTGTTTTCTACACCGAATGCATGCTGATGCCTGTATCTAGTCGTGTGAAGGTCTGAAGACCAGCAGGTGCAGCGCAGACCTGCAGGGATGTGTGTGTATATGTAAAAAACGCGGGGAGGCCTCTCTCGCCAGGCTCCTGCTCCATCGCATTTAACTGTATCACCTATTCCCCTTTCCAAAGCCCGGCTTGTGAGTGTGATACTTAGGACCGGACATGTAGATATCAACCATCTAGATATCAACCGTAACAGGATGCGAACTCGGTAGGTGGGGCCTGGCTGAAGGTCCCGACCCTGGGCTGTGATCTTGGGGGGGAAAACAGGTCCCCAGTCCCTTCCTTTCTGGTTCTTTCCCGGCTCTGCTTCCTGACTGCTGCAAAGTGAGTTTTGTTCTCCCACACCTTCTGCCGTGATATTCTGCCTCACCTCAGGCCCCAAACCATGGAGCCAGCCAGGTTTCCTCTTCTAAGATAATTGGTATAGCAATGAAAAGCTGACTAATACATCAAATTTGGGATAAAAGAGAAAATCTTGATCAAAACATTGCATGAGTCATAAAATGTATTTTTAAAAAGTATGTGTCTTAGGTGTGATCCCTAGTTTCAGGAATCTTTGGTTATTTAAGATGATGCAAAAACTACTTGAATAAAATCTAGTTTTATTCTTTGTCAGTGGTATTTATTTATGTACTATGAGGTTCTCTGCCTAAACCTTCCAGTGTTTCTAATATGGAGTCAGACTTTTACGAGAAAGTTGTGTGTGTAGCTTTTAATGTATGTTGGGTTTGTTTTCCATAAGCGAAAATGTTATTGGTTGGTACCACCATACTTGCCTTTCTAAATTAGAATTGGATCAATATTCACCTGAAAGGTTGTGAGAATAAACGCATTCATGGAACACAAGTCACTCACAACTGACTGGTACTAGATATCTTTTCTGTGATTTAAAGGTGCTTTCTTCTCCCTCAAGTCTCAAATATTCATTCTGAAGTTCCCACGATGCAGGGCCAAGCTGGGTTAGTTCTCAGTGTGGGACAGGTGAGGAGATTTGGGGGATCTGGAAGTCAGCAAGTCCCCGCCCCCACCCAATTTCAATGACCTTCACGTGCAGCTTAAGTGGCATCAAGAATTCTCCAGTATCTCAGGCTAATTAAGGTTTTCAGAGCATCTTTCGGGCTTTTCATTTCTCTAAAGACACTTGCCTTGAATTCCTTGGCAAGAGTCAAGAAGCGATGCGAAGCAAGGCGTCAGGCACAAACCTGGAATCCCCGCACTGAGGTGGAGGCCAACAATTTTAGGGGGATTCTGGCTCGAAATGCAAAATACAGAGCCGGGGACACAGCTTAGTGCAGCACTTGCTAGGTTCAAGGCTCTGCGTTCAATCTCCAGCACCGCAAACACAAAACAAAATTAAAAAACCAAAATCCCAAACGGCTTGGATGTACTTCTTCCCTCCCCGGCTTGCTTTCCTTCCTAGCCTCATTGGTCTAGATATCCGTGAATTCAATTCCATGTTAAATACCTCTCCCTTCAAAAAAGGGCTTCCGTACTGAGTGGCACACGTCGGGCAACTTGTTTGCTCTGAGTGCGGAATCGACATCAGGGCAGCTAGTAGTGATCGTTGATCCTGGCGTCCTTTTCTCTGTTGCATGAAAAGCAGTGGTTATGTTTTTGTCAGTTTAGAGGATCTGTATTTGATCTGTAATGGTTTTAAAGAAATTGCCAGCTGAAGATGGTCATAGTGGTCTTTAAACTTTTGGGAAGTTACAGTTTTTCTTAAAAAAAAAAAAAAACTTTATAAGTTTTTGTTTCTTCAAATATGTCTCCAGTTATCTTGGTTTACTAAGGCAGTGGTACCCATTATATGCTTTTTCCTCCCTGGCCATGTATTACCTGGCATATCGCCAGTTGAAAATGTGATTTGCATGGAAAATTTCCAGGCTTGTTGCAATGCTCTGCGTAGGTTAAACAGGCCCACGCGTGCCTAAAGAACAACACATCCTGAGACGTCGGCTCTGTAAACTCTCACTGCATCAATTCTAGGACAGTGAAAGCCAAGAGTAACTCTAGGAGGTTACTCAGTAGGCCACATCATTGGGTAGTCCCTTGAAAGTTGGCTTGACTAGCTCAAACCGTTTAACGCTTTAACAAGGACTTCAGAAAAAGTTTTGGGCTTAGCAGGTACTCCTGCTGCGTAAGCCTCTTCCAGGCATATTAACCACCTTTTGAGATCAGGCCATTTTTAGAAATAAAACGCAAGTAGTCCTTCCACACCTTCTACGAACCCCCGTGCACCAGCTCTCTCCCACGACAGTGTAAGTGGCTCTGAAAAGAGCCTTTTTATTCCCAACATCACTCCTTATTTGGCCTTGTGGTGGCTCTCGGTCTTCTTGGGCAGCAGCACGGCCTGGATGTTGGGCAGCACGCCGCCCTGAGCGATGGTGACCTTGCCCAGCAGCTTGTTGAGCTCCTCGTCGTTGCGGATGGCCAGCTGCAGGTGGCGTGGGATGATGCGGGTCTTCTTGTTGTCGCGCGCCGCGTTGCCCGCCAGCTCCAGAATCTCGGCCGTCAGGTACTCCAGCACGGCCGCCAGGTAAACAGGGGCGCCGGCGCCCACGCGCTCGGCATAGTTGCCCTTGCGGAGCAGGCGGTGCACGCGTCCCACCGGGAACTGCAGCCCAGCACGGGAAGACCGCGTCTTGGCCTTGGCGCGAGCCTTGCCACCCTGCTTACCGCGTCCCGACATGACCGGAAACAGCAGTTACACCCCCAAGCTGCTATGTAAACGGATGCGCCTGGGGGCACTTTTTATAGCCATACCGCGGCGCGTAAAAGAAAGACGGATCATTGGTTAAAATTGTAACTTCATTTTAACCAATAGAAATGTGACTTTGGGACTTATGCATTCTTATTGGGTAAAAGTCTCTGACGTTACTCCGAGTAACCACCAATGAGACACGGTGAATTGAACACCACTTAATTTGCACACTACGTTTTACATAAGGAGGACACCTCGCATTGCCCCACTCTTCGCTGGTTGTAGTGCTGAGTATCTTTTACCGTTATGCGTGAGCCAGCGAAGTCAGCCCAGCCCCGAAGAAGGGGTCGAAAAGGTGGTGACCAAGGCTCAGCCGCAAGGAGAGCTCGGGGTACGTGTACAAGGTGCTGAAGCAGGTGCACCCAGGGACCGCCATGTCTCCGGAGTTCCAGACGGCCATGCCTCTGCTGCTGCCCGGGGAGCTGGCCAAGCACACTGTGTTGGAGGGCACCAAGGCGGTCACCAAGTACACCAGCGCCAAGTAAACCCGGCAAAAGCGCCACATCTACCCCCAAAGTCTCTTTTAACAGCCACCTAAGGCTGTGAACATTAGAGCTGCTCCACATGCCAACCCCTCGTAAGCTCCAGCCCACCTCTGCGGTACAGAGTCTGGGTGCGAATGCTGGTGTTTCTAAGGAGGGTGCAGGGAATCGTAAATGTCTCCTGGCTGTCACAGCAAGTCGAATGCTACTGGTTGTCTTGTTGCTTAAACTCTGCTTCAATGTATTCCGTGTGCCTTTCTTCCCAGGTGCTCAGGTGTACATGTAGTGTAGTGTAGTGCTTTTCCCGAGGTTCATTCCTGGAGCTCTAGGCAGCCGGCTGGGATAAAGTTCCAGTAGGCGAGAGGCCGTTAAATTGGCTAAACCTGGGACTTAGCTTCCCGTTTCCATTTGGGCTGGGAAGATGCTGGAAAACCAGGCCTTTCTGGTGAGCAGAGAAAGGGAAGAGGGATTGAGCCTTAAGTGGCCAGTCTAAGACAACCATTCTTCGAGATCACCTAGTCTTGTCAGTTTCCTCAATGGGCCAGCAACAAAGCTTAGAGAAACTTGAGCAACTTGGTTTTTTTGTCTTGCCTTCAATTCACTGTAGCCTAGGTTGACCTTGAGCTCCTAGTGATCCTCCTGGGTCAGCCTCTCGAGGGCTGGGATTACAAGCGTGCACCACCACGCCTGGCTTTGAGGAAACTTGGGGTCTATAGAGATGACGAAACAGGACTGGAACTACACTGAGGGGGAAGTTTGGAGATGGCACTGCCTGGGGCAGGGTCCTAGCAGTCACCATGGGGAATTATTTTAAATTTTATTTTTTTAGAGTTTTGCTTTTGGCTGGAAACTGCAGGGGCTAGAGATGTTGCAAGCGAACTGAACTTTAGGGGTAAATAAGGCTAAAGAGTCTTAATCTATGCTATGACCTTGGCCTGTTGATAGAAGTAAAGACCAGTTTCACAAGAAAAATGATTAATGCAACGTTTCTTGTGTGTTCAAAAAAGCACATACGTGTTTATATGTGTTTTTACCCCCATTTTTTGTTCTAGTCTTTGGGAACAGAGGCAGTGCACCTTATGTAATGAATTGATTGCCCCCTGGGTAGTGTGGGGGGATCAGCTGTAGCTGTCTTCATTGTTCCCAGTCTTATTCTACCAACAGTTGGTCAATTACACTGGTAGCTTAAGAAACATTGAGTTAGTTAATGAACGTTTGTCAGTGTACCTATGTTCCTTGTGATGTATTAAGTCATTTATGTGGATTAGGAGGTAAATACTATTAGGCACATTTTTCAAATGTGGAAAGTGACCTATAAGTGGGTGGAAGAAATGTCTTGCGTTATTTTTGAAAGGAGAAAGTGAGGGAAAAAGCACGGGGAGAGGGAATAATAGGAAGAGAGGAGCAGGCATAATTGAGCTTTCTAGAGTGATTTCCCAAACAAGGCATCTGTCACTCATCAGTCAGCCCAGGACAATTTATAGATAGCAAAATTGGTATAATTCAAAGAGCTGATGGGAGAAAGGTGTACCAGTACTGTCACTTCCGGTTCAGATTTCATGGAAAATGGTGGGAAACTTACATCACTTATTGGCATGTTTTTGTACAATAACATTCTAGGCTCCAGCTATGGAGCCTACAATACACCTTCTGGCAGTGATGAATTCCCCATTTAGGTACTCTATGTCTCTCTAAGATTAAGATTTATGTCCTGCAACTATTAACAGTACGTTGCTGTCATTAATTCAAGCGCTAACCAATCATCTTTGCAGATTATGCAAATCGTTTTGATTTTTAAAAACATGCTGCTTTCACATCTTTTTGCCTCTGTTAGAAAATTCTGGTAGTGTTTTAATAAAATAACCAAAAAAAGACAAAAACCTGGGTGAATGTGAGTCATACTTTTCTCATTCCTTGCTCCTGGTTCCCATTTTGTTCTGGCTAGCACAGAATTTGACAGCTGGAAGGAATCACAGTTAAGATCAGTGTTCTTTTACAAAGAGCAAGACTGATACACAGAGCTTAATTTGCTCAAATTATTAGAAGCAGAGCAAGAGTCTAGTTGCCTGCTTGCTGTCAATGACAGCAGAAAATAAAACCAAAGCACGAAGTTCCAAGAAAACGCTTTAACTGGAAAGTAAGACAATGGTAAGTGGAGCAGGCAAAGAATGAAGGAGAGAACAGGAAAGGACCCCAGCTGGGTGAGCAGAAGTGGGAGCCGGCGTCTAGGCCGGCCAGCGCTGCACCGGGCGCTGGGGCGGATCGCAGCCTGGCGTCCCAGTTCCGGAGTCTTGCGGCTCGAGGCCCGGTTGCATCCCGAGACGCTCTGCCGCGGTTTCCCTCCCGGGGGCTTTGCTCTTGCTAGAGTCAGGTTCAGGGCAGTGGCGGGGGAACTCGGAGCACAGCTGAGTGTTCCTTACGCTGGCAGCTTGTCCCTCTGAAAGAAGAGACTACGCGAATTAAAGGCTACAGGACCTCGTTTCTCCGTGTTTTACCCCCGGTAATGATTAGCTCATATATGCTTCAGTTCCGTGTTGGGCATCGCTAGGCCCCAGAGTAATGTTTGTTTGAAAAACAGCGTTTAAGTTTCCAGCTGTCTCAGAAGAAAACACAAATTGTGCATTGAATGAGTAGCAAATTAAGGACCCAGGAGTCTCTATCCCTAAGGAAGTCTCTGACTCTGGCATACCTATGTCTATTACAACATATGTCTCATTTCTTTCTCTTTTAGCCATATATAGTAACTTGATTTAATTTTGAACAAAATCTTTTTCTTTGCAATTTATAACCTTTTACATTATTCAAAGTTGTGCCAGAATAACTCATTTTGTCACGAGTTGTTGGAACCACAGCAATTCAGTTTGGCAGCTGACAAAAGCCGCCACCTGGGCAACACCTGCACCGAGGCTGCAGACTCCACCTGGAGGAGCAGCCTGCTTTCCAGGTGAGGCGGAGCTCACTGCACCATGGTTGGTGTTTTTGTTTTGTTTTTTGGGTACCTGAAATAGAAGTCAGGACCTCACACTTGGCAGGCAGAGGTTGTGCCACTCAGCTAAATCCCTCGCACTTGGTTCCTGTCATACGTGTCTAGTCCAGAAGCTGCAGAGGCCAAAAGCCTAAGAAGGTGGCCTGGCTTCTCTCTCGGGTAGGTGGGGAAGCCTTGCTCCTCACACCTCTGAGCCCACAGAGGCACAACGCACGGTGTGCACGGCACCTTCCATAAAGCCTTTGCGCGGTGCAGACTGGAGACATCATCTTTGCTTCCAGAAATACAAATGAGGAAAAGGAAGATCCTCATTTACTGTAGTTCTTCGGGTTCCTCACTCCTCCCTGAAGGAGGATATGTGGCCCCGGACGCCTGACACCAGTTTGTCAAAGTCACACTGCCCAGCATGAACATGGCAGGACTCAGGTGCCTTCCACAGCACCTGGTCATTTTCTGTTTTGGTGCTGAGACTGAACCCAGGGCCTTCACCCTTTCTCAGTTTATTTTCAGAAAGACCCTCGTTAAGTCACCAAGTTTTCCTGGCCGGACTAAGTCCTGATTCTCCTGCATTAGTTCCCCCAGTACTAGGGTCCTGGGCAGGCGTGTGCAGTCTCCCCATTCATAACCTCATTTTTAAAAAGGTTAAGAACAGAGCAAACTCACTTTAATATGTTCAATCTGACCCAATATATCAAAAATGTGACCTTGCTGTGTAAACCACATAAAATGCATTAAACAAGTATCTTGGGTGTTTTGTTTTCATCTCAAGTCTTCAAAATCTGGTGTGCATTTTATACTTTTACAGTACATCAAAATTCTAAATTGTCTCATTTTCCTTGGGATTTTTTTTTTTTTTTTTGGGCAGGATCATGCGGTATGACCTATATTGGCCTTGAACTCACTCTGCAGCCCAGGCTGGCCTTTAACTACAGGTCTTCCTCATTTTAAGCTAAATTCTTGTAGGGTTTTGTATTTATAATAAACACTCATTTAGAAGTATAATTAAGCTACAGTTAAACACACAAGCAAGCTGGTGGCTACTGCTGTGAGTACCACATTTAAGGAACAGAACTGATGGCTGGGGCAGTACTTGGAGGATGCTGGCCCCTTCGGAAGTCACCAGTTACCAGCTTTTCCTAAGGGGGTATTCAGTCCTGTGGGACTGGAATATGAAAAGTGACAGATTTGGAGGGACATGTAACATCTCTACAGATTTCTTTAAATGCAATGACCTTGTTAGGCAGTGGGCCCACAGGCTGAGATTAAAGTAATTCTTAACTGGGTGTGGTGCCAAGGGCCTAAAATCCCAGAACTCAGGAAGTTGAGGCAGCAGGATTAACTGGAGTTTGAGCTCAGCCTGGGCTATGTAGTGAGTTCAAGGCCAGTTTGAATTACACAGTGAGATCTTGTCTCAAACACAATGACAATCCCCCCAAGACAAAGCAACCCACTTGTCAGGGTGTCCATAGACAGTTCTTGTACCTGTCCTTGAGACCCTAGTGTTTGGAAA